TAGAACTCCTCTCTCAAAATTGTTTTAAAAATTTAATTTAATACAATTTAATTTTAGTGCCCTCCCTGAAAGCAAACTGTCGTCTTTTAAAAGTAGATAATTTCCAATAGAAAAATGAAAAAATGACGTGAATGGGAAATTCCTTCCAAAACTGTAAGCTCTCAAACAAATGAAAAAAATGTTGAAACGCACTCATTATTAGGGAAATGCAAATTAAGATAACATTACAATCAAACTGACAAAAATAAAAAGTAGGACAGTACATTCTGTTGGTGGAGCTGTGCGACACAGGCACTCATATATTGCTGGTAGGAATCCAAATTCATATAAGCATTTTGAAGAGAATTTTGGCAATACCTAACAAAACTACCTATACACTTACTATTTGATTCAGTGTTCCAATTTCTAAGAATCTACTTTGAAGATACACTCCCAACAATGTGAAAATACTGCATACAATGTTATTTTTCACAGTATTGTTTGTAATAGAAAAGTAATGGAAATTACCTAAAGGCCACTATGTAGGGGAGTGTGTGCTCATTTGTACAAAAGGAGCATAGGGAAGATAAACCAGAAATTAAAAAGGCCAGTTAGGGGTTGTGTAGGAAAGGAGTGTAAAGAAGGGGGAATGGGAAGAGGCCAGGAGGCATGAGGAAGTAACACTTATTGGATGGAGTCTACTCTTTTGTAAAGTTTTGACTCTTAGAACTGTACCAGTGTTTTGCATACTAAAATAATAAAGAAATAATTAAAATTAATTAATTTTCATTAAATAATTTAAGTCAACCATTATAAAATATAAGTAATAATAAGTCAATCTAACTAGATTATGAATGAATAACTAAAGCACACTGAAGAGGATGAGGAAGAAAATAACTAATCTGTCACTCTGAAAAATAATGTTTTTGACTAGATTCTATAATGCTAAAGATAAAATCAGATGTGCATAAATACTCTAGTAATAAATCTACCCGCAAGAGTATTGGTTAGGAATTCTGTAACTACTTTAAGTGTATACTAGTATTAAATGAATAAATGAATATATTATATATAATAAAAGTCAGAGTTTTCACTGTCAGAAAATGAAGTTACAAATAAGGAAAGAAGAGACTAAAATGAAACTTGTGTTGGATTGGAATCATAGATATTAGGGATTTACATCTATATCTATACCTACCTATTATCCATCTTTTATATATCTACATGTACATGTATCTACATATTATTGTTTCTGTCTCTGTAGAGAGAAATAGAGAAATATGATGTATGAGTATCCATATATATACCTATTATCTTTTGATTATATACCTACATATAGAGATCTCTATTTCTATATATCTATATATAGAAACAGAAATAAATATGATATATGAGTATGTGTGTGTTTGTATACATACATATATTTTCTTCCCCCCGCCCACTCTGCCCCTTCCACCCCGACCTATGGATGTTGCCATGTTCCCCTTAAGAACTGGATCTCTGAAGGTGAGGTATCTCCTCCCACATGCTTCCAGAGTGCACCCGGGGCCTGGCACACCCGGGGTATGGTCCGTGGCTCCACCTGGGGCGTGAATCCAGGACCTTCTGCGTGTAAAACAGATGTGCTAACCACTACATTATGGAGCTACCCCCACATACATATATTTTCTAGCTCACTCCACGGAGAGAGCCTAGGGGCAATGACACTCCAGTAACAATGAGCACAATTAGCACCCAGATTTTGGTTCCTAAGTACTATTCTCTAAAAAAAAAAAAAAAAAGTAGGAGAACTAGTTGATTCCAAGACTGAGACTGAGGGAAAATAAAAGATACACCTAGGACATTTTGTGATATCAGAAAATCAAGGAACCTCTCAAAGGAAAGGACACAGGAACCAACCAGAAGGACCTCCCAATGATTAAAGCTGGAACAATTTGAGCCACAAAATAAACAACAGTGTTAGATTATAACCCATACAATAAATATCCTTGAGACCCATACTGATATAAATAAATAATTGAATAAATAAACAAGTGGGGAAGGAGGGACAGCTTTTATAGAAGAATTCCCATTACTGTGGAAGGAATGAAGACAACGTAAAATCATTATTAAGAAAACAGCACAGTAATAATTGTTGCAAACAAGATCCACCAATGGATGCTAAAATCAGATGACAGTTTGAGGAGAAGCAGGATATTAGCATAACCTCAAATTTTCTTCCTCAAGATATTTATCAAGTATAAGTGAAAAAAGTGTAACTTTGCATGTAGAAACCTAGCAGACACTACAGTTATCAATGTTAATGTCACTAGTTGACGTCATGTAGACCCCGATAATGATGCACTTATACAACACCATTTCTGTGGCATTCTTGCCAAAATGAATAACCTTAGACTAATCATTAGAAAACATCAGAGAAACCCAAATTGAAAGATATTTCACAAAAGATTTGACCAGTATTTATTAGAAATGGCAAGTTCCTGAAAGACAAAGAGAGGCTGAGGGACCGTTATAAATTGAAGGAAACTAAGGTGACACAACTAAATGCAACGTGGATCCTCATGGACCCTGGAACAGAAAACGGATGTGGGGGATAAAAAAAAAACTGGTGAAAGTTCAATAAAGTTTGTAGTTTAATAGTTTGATGCCAGTATAAATTTTCGGATTTTGATAATTGTACGCTGGTTAAGTAAGTTAACATTAAAAGTTGGGTGAAGAGTATATGCGAACTCTGTATTATACTGCAACTTTTCTGTAAGTCTAAATTTATTTCAAAATAAAAAGTTTCAAGAAGAAGAAATAGAAGAAAAAATAAAAAAGAATAAGAGGAAAAAGATAAAATTAAAAAAAAACACATTTGCTTTTTTGAAAATAGTTAAAACTTATTTGGACCATATGTCATTAATAAAGTAAGCTAGCTGCTAGTGACTGTTTTTGTTACATTATCTATGAGATTATTTTATTGCTGCCTTTGTGTTCACGGTACTATAACAAAAAATACCATAGACTGGGTGGTTTGAACAACAAACATTTACTTCTCACAGTTCTGGAGGGTGGAAAGTCCAAGGTTAAGGCACCAAGACCCTGTGTCTGGTGAGGACCAACTTCCTAGTTCATAAATGGCCATTTTCTTCTGTGTCCTCACATGGTGAGAGGGGAGAGGAAGCTCTCTGGGCTCTCTTTTATAAGGGCATTAATTACATTCGTGATGTTAAAACATCCCAAAGGCCTCAGTTCCTAATACCTCAGGGGTTAAGAATTCAATATATGAATTTGGGTGGAGAGTTACATACATTCATTCTATGGCAGTTGTGTATCAAAACTGGATCTGAAGATATTTCTAAGACATGATATAGAAGCCTAGTTTTTACCCTAGTAGTCAGTGGTCTATAGAATATAGAACAAAGATACATTAACTATCATTCTGATGTTGATCTTTTAGTTTATGTGTTAGTTTGGTTTCTTTGTGAAAATAAAGTTGCTTTTCATCTGATAGACATTTGCCATTAATATACTCATTAAAAATTTTTAGCTTGGCAAAATTCTCAATATTGATTCAATGCAGACTCTCAAGCAGATAAATATACTGATTAATTACACAGCTATGCCAAGTCAACAGATTTCTATGTTTAATATGAACAGAAAATATAGATAAGTTACCACTTAAAAATCTCAGAACTCCCTCAGAAAATTATAAAGTTCTACAACCTGTGAGTAAATAACTCTTTATAAAAAGTAAAAGTTTAGATACTAGGAATTTAAACAAGCTCACCTATCATTATATACCAGGTTTCCAACCCCTCTCATAAAGTGATACATTATTTTATTTTGAAACCACACTGGTGAATCACTTGCTATAGTTGGTCCACGGTCAATTAAAAAATAGAAAGAATGTCCAACTTTAAAAATCTCAATTAGAGACAGATACATAATTTAAAATTGGGTCATTAAAATAATATAACTTAAGTTTCAGATTTAAAAATATAATTGTTAGTAAAATTCGATTTTGGCTTATAGAATAATAATACAGAGAAAGCAGAAAATATGAAGTTTTGCTTAAACTAAAATTTGCTACATTCCTACTATCCATTGTGCTCCTGGCTACTATTCGTTTTGTCTGGTTTTGTCTTGTTTTTGGATGTTATGGTACCTGTGAAAATGTGTTCTCCTGAAGTACTGCTTAAGATACTTTAGGAAGACTTGTGCCTAATTGTGGAACTAGGTGTCACCTTAGGAGTAGCTTTAACAAATTTTGTATACTGAAGTCTTGATAAGGGTAAGAATCTTTATTTTTTAAAAACTGTCTGAGTAATAAAATTCCAGTGATCAATTTCCTTTCATCTCCACTTTGATCAAATGTCTATCATATATAGTAAGAAAATATTTTGCATTAAAATGTTATGTGCTCTCTTTGGTTTAATTTACTCTCGTTTGAGAGTTCAATAACAACAACAAAAAAGTCTATCGATGTGATTTCTTCTTTCAAATATTGTGATGATCCATTTTCTTTGTGATGAATACACTTGACCATATGAATCACTGTGACAGCCAATTAAACAAGACATCAGGCCATATGAATATTTATTGTGACAGTTAGCTTCTTACCGTGCCTTCTAAGAGTTTGCAGTTGTTGAGGAGACAGAAGATTCACATGTAAACCCTTGTAATGAAATAAAAGAGTCACTATGTTAGACCACTGAGAAGCACCTAGAACTCAGAAAGCTGGGAATAACACGTTATCTTGCAAAGATAATTAAAATCTTCAAAGTGCTTTCACATGTCTCATCTCATCTAATCCTTGCAAAGACCTTGTCAGGTAAACAGAGAGGCTCATTATAAATATGAAAATTGATGCTCAGGAGGTCTTGTGTGTTTTAAAATCATATATGAACCTGCTTGTTCTGATGTAGTTCCTTCAAAGGAAGCAGATTCTTGTCTTTTTTTTTTTTTCTGTTTCAAGGAATAGCATTAATCTCAAAGTAAAGAAATAGCTCTAGCATTGAGTTCCAGAGCAGGAGCCCTCTACCGAAAAGCTCTCTGCCTCTGCTGGAGCATGAAAGATTATTTTTAGATGTTTTTCTTTTGCTAATTGTCTCTCCCTCCATGGGGAATTTCTGTGGTAGAATCCCCAGATGAGCCAAGTTTCTCACTAATTCCAGCAGAGACCGGAAGGACGAAGGCCATGGCCCAGGCTGCCCTGGGGCCTCAGAACTTACCCACTGATGACAGTATGGTGGCTTTAGCAAGATCTTCAAGGACTTTGCAGTGCACAGAGCTTTGGTGATTCCAGTGAACAACAGCTCTAAGAGGTGACTGGAAGAAAGTCTTGGAACCACCTCAAATGACCTTGCCTGGTTGGAGGTTAATTCCGAAAGAAATTAAGAGGATGTGGAGCCAGGGTTGGCTGTGGGCTCAAGAGGCCTTTCAGTTGTTCTGACTTTCTTCTGCCACCTTTGACAGGAAAAAGGAGGAGAGTTCTGAAATAATATTTTTACAGGCAACTTCAACCTTAAGCTTTAACCTTCAGGAAACATCATAGGAACTGTGAGGTTTAGCCTAGAGAAGAGAAAGAGGAAAGGAATGATAAAAACCATTTTTATTCCCTTTCTGGGAAGAGCTAACCAAATAGTGCTAGGTGGCCTTGGAACAATGTGTGGAAAGAAAATGAAGTTTTGGGCTAAATATCAGGGTAAACTTTCTAACAGATTTAGTGCAATAAAATACTTGGGGAACTGGTGAGTTCTCTTCATCTTAACTGTTCAACTATAAAGTTGGACACTGGTATGAACAATGGCATTCATTGGGAAGTGAGTGATTAAAAACCCTAAAGGTGGGGAGCTAAGTAATATTAACACTATTATAGCATTTACTTTACATCAAGTGTTTTTAACCCTCAACAAGCGGTGTATAAAGTAGATGCTATTATTAACTCTCTTTTAGAGATGAGAAAACTGAGGCACAGAGAGGTTAAATAATTTGTTCAAGGTCACACAGCTAGTATGAAATTGAATTTAGGCTGTATGTCTTCAGCATCTGTACTCTTAACCACTTGCTATATTGCTGTGTCCTCTAACATCCCTTCTTGCCCTGCGATGCCAAGTAGGGTGGAGTCTGGTCCCATCGCCAGCATTCTTTGTATGCCTTACTCATAAGACTTCCAAAAACGGTGTAATGGCTTCCTCTGGGAACAAACAAACGAATGAACAAACCAAGCAACAAATAAATAAATCCAAAGAGGTTGCTGGTGAAAAATAATCAAAACATTTAGACCCACAGGGAAGCTCACAGATCGTCTTTAGGATCAGTTGACAGAGAAAGAGCTGACCGGAATACCTCTCTAAAGTGATGTGCTGTTATTTTCTGATTTTTCGGTTTACCTGCCTCTCTCTACCTCTGGCGTCCCCTTCTGGCCTCCCTTTTCCCTGCACCTGCCTTCCCATTGCACCTGTGCCGGGCTTTTCCGGGAGACTGGAAGGCACGGGGACAAACAGTTACGAAGCTACCAATTCTCTATTCCACATTCTCTTCCCCTCCTTGATTTACGGAGGGGAAAAGTGACTTACCCAAGGTCACAGCCCGCATCAGAAAATCCAGGTGTCCAGACTCCCCCATCAGGGCTCCGCCCACAACTAGGCACACTTTCCCTCTCATCGGCCGCACCCAAGAGCTTTCTTTATTCCACATCCCCTCCTCCCCCACCCCTACCCTTAGATCCCCCGAGTCACTTCTGACGCTCCGCAGCCTCCAGGGTCCAGCCCTTCCTGCCGGAGCTCCCTTCCGCCGGATTCCCACGCCGACTCGCCCTCTGCTCGCGCGCAGCCAGCAGGAGCGCTGCCTTCCGGGCTAGCTTGGCGGCGTCACCCCGGCCCCGCGGAGACCCTCTCCGCGCCCACAACCCCGGTAGGCGTGGGCACTGAGGCGGGCGGGCGCCCAGGGTTCACTGCCCCACGCTGAGAATAGGAGCAGAGGGGGTGCCCCGAGCCACCAGTCCAGAAGGCCAGGGCTGGCGTGGGACCCTGACCTCGTCCCTCCGGACGCCGGCATCTGGAAAGGGGCTTTGACCCGCTCACCCTCCCGCCCGCAGACCAGCCGCCTCCTTGGAGAACTCCTAAAGTGTCGCGTTCAATCCCAGGGGGTGTGGCCGCGCCTTTGGCTCCCCAGGGGGCTGCCCCTTTCGGAGCGGCACTTCCTCCTCCTTTGCCTGCGGTGGCCACGGCGCCCGCCGCGCTCCATCCCTGCGCCCCGGCTCCCGCCCCGCCGATGTGCCAACTGCTCTCCACCTGGGACGCGCGCACCATGGACTCGGGACCTGGCTTTCGGAGACAGGCCGCCTTTTGGTTGGACAATTAGCGGAGGTGGGCGGGGAGTTGACGAACCCCACACACGCGCTTCTCCATGAAGATTCTTGAGCTTTCTTTGAAGAAAGGAGTGCATATGCTGCAGTGTCTTTGTGGAAGGAGCCTCAGGACCAGCAACAGCCTAAGCGGTGAGAAAAACGTTCTTTCCTTAGCCCTAAAACACCCCTTTTCCCTCCTTCTGGCCCCCTCTTCTCTTCCCACCCCTTTATTTCGCGCGGAAAGTGGTGGAAGGAAGGCGTTTCCTTACTGGGGCGAGATAATGGCCCCGCCATGGGTAGTCTTTTTTTTTTTTTTTTTCTTTAAATCCCTGAAGTCATCAGCGCTTTATAGAACACTTTAGCTCTCACCCAGCGCCTGAACTGTAACCTACGGGTCTCTTTTGGACGGATGCTTTAAGTGACCTGTTTTCGCACTTCCTCGCGGCTCTCTCCTTGTGACTTGCGAGGGCGGCGTGCGACTTGGAGTTGCTCAGTGACTCCTCTGAGAAGTTGCTGGAGCGTTCGACAGGAGAGGGGACATTTAAACAGGTGGCTGGCGACGCAGGTATCTTTTATTTTTCTTGCTTTGTCTGAAAAGTAGATATCTGGCCATCATTGGAGAGTGCGTTTTGCTATGGAGATCAATTTCTGTCCTCCTAGCTAAAATAGGAGGGTCCCAATTAGCCCTGAGCTCAGTCAACCAGGTCCCTCAGGAAAGGCATAGAAAGAAAATTAGACCCTTTAAATGACCTGCGATATTGAGGAAAACGATAAAAAATTAAAGAAAATATCCAATTAAAACCAAAGAAATGTGATTCTTTTCCGCGAAAGCCTTAGAAATAGTGTGTTCTTTCACAGCATTTTTCATTGTTCATCTCTTTTATTAAGTTGTATGTTCCCTTTAAAACGATTATGTCTTGTAATTTTGCAAGTGCTAATCATTTTTCTGACTTTGTTTTTGCCTTTACAAAATGGGGATAGAGTATAAGGAGAGAGGAAAAGTACCACTTAGGTCTCAAGTGCCTCTTTTTAAAATAAGTTTTTTTGTCCATGAATTCCAAATAACTTTAATATTCAAGAATTTAACAATAGTATAATAGATTTCATGTTTAAAACTTCATGTGTTATTCTGGGGGATCTGATTCACTTGGTTACGCACCTATTTTTACTCTGTTCTGGAGCTATGAAAATTATATTTGGAAAGATTAGAATATATATAGGTTTCATTCATCCTTTCTAAAACTTTGACTTTTGGTTACTCATCACTGTAAATGAAAAACAAAACTATTTTAAAAGAACTAATTAGATAATTTAACTATATGTGAGATATAGGAATATATATTTTTGAAACGAAATCTGCCTTGAGATCTCATATTTTTAGTTTTGTTCAGTTCAGAGGATTACTTAAACATTCTCTTTCTTTTGCAACCATGTTTATCAGTACTAAAAGATTCCAAGCCACTACATTCTAAACTAACATCCTTGATGTTGAAGTTTTTGTTTTGGAAATACATATTTCAGGAGGCCAGTAGAGATGTATGTTAAAATTTCTTCATTTTTCCTTGTGTACATTAGATAAAATGTGAATAGATTGTAACTTGAATGTATGTTTTCCAGATGTGAAAAATTTTAAAGTATATCCAGAAAGTGCCCTGTGTTCATTGCACTTCCTCCTGTAAAAATGGGTAACATATTCAATTTACATGCAAAGTCAGTTTCCCAAATAGTTACAGATCCAAACAGAAGTAATTACATATATGACTAGACAGCATAGGTTGTTGCAAGATCATGGCACTTAGAGTTAAAAGACCTAGTTAGAAAGCAGTCTCAATAAAATCACTAAGAATCTTTTAAATTCAATATTATCATCTGAAAAAAGCAGAAATAATGACAGCTCTAGCCTCATTCCTATATTTTATTTAATCTTATTTATTAACATGTGATCCTATGAAAATTGCTGAAGTTTATTTATACACACATTTTACTTAGGGTAGTTCAATATATTGGGAAACTATCACTCTAGGGAAATTCTTTTAAAATGGTGTAGACACAAATAGTGAAGATGAAGGTTTCTTAGTCTTTCCACAGAGGTAATATATAGATTACAGATTGTTTTTAGGAACTCCATTGCCTTTGTTTGAATTGTGGCTTTTCCTAGCTGATGATCTGGGATAACTTACATGCCCTTGCTGTTCCTCATTTTAAGCATAGATGTAAATTAGTATAGCTATAGTACCGATCTCATAGATTGTTGTAAAAATTGAATGAGTTAATAATAGCTAAAGATTTATTGAGCCTACACTATATGCCGTTGTTCTAAGAACTTTGAATTTATCATAAACATGTTCTGTATTATTAATGTGTTTTATTTTAAAATGTTCTCTTTCATGTAACTTGTGCTACTACCATGACATCACAGCAGTTTTTCATAAGATGTTGTTATGCTCAGTGTGTGCATGCAAATTGAGGCAGCGATACCAGATATATTTTCATGGAGCAAACTTATAAAATAGAGCTGAAACGCACTATTTTAATTTTGTAAACATATCTAAAGACAAATACAATAATATTTTGAACCATTTCAGCATGGAGTAAAAGTTTTATGCCAGCTACTTCTTCCCTATAACTTTACAATTAAGGAGGGAAGTGAGGGACACTGGAGAGAAGTGACATAATTCGTTATAAGAGATTAAGAGATTCTATTAATAGATTTCCAAATTTTTGGAATTGTAAACATTTCAATATTTTATTTAGGTTTTATTAAATAAATGGGGTTAAGAAAGATACAAAATAATCATTACTGATATTTGAGCTTAGTATAATTAAAATACTTTATTTCTCCTGTCTTTCTCAGCAATTTTCAAATATTAATATCTTGTCTAATTTATACCTTAAATTAGTTTATAAGTTTTTTGTACTTCAGTACCCTAGAGCTAGCATGAGCTATCAAATAGAAGACAATCTTAGACAAGGTTAAGTGGATTGTTTAAGGCTATTTCTCAGTGATTATGATCCTTCTTTATAGCAATGGGAGCCTATCCATTAAAAGACAGATAAGTGATTTTCAATTCTAAATATTCTGCTCAGAGTATACGGCACTTCTATTAACCTGATAAAATATTAAGTTTTTAGTTCAAAGGGAGAGTAAAACAGGTTCATTTTTCTTTACAGATAGGACCTTTACAAATAAACATAAACTCACAGAAGAGTAGGGATTAAAACAATAGCTTTAATGCCTGCTCCCAGTCCTCTCCAGATCTAGTTGAGAGGAACGCAGAAGCACTGTATTAAAGAAGGATGTTAAGATTACAGGTGTTACATGACTTTAGTCTCAAACGGTTCTAATGTATTGAGAGGGATTCCTGTCCTAACAACCAGGCTCCTGAGAAAGCTGCATTAGGTCTCAACATGACAGAGAGGGCAGCACTTCTGATGATAGGTCCCTACAATTGTACTAATTGTAAGTGTGTGTACATGTGTGTGTACAAGCACACACAGCTGGAGAGGGAGAGCGCTGTGCTCATCTTATCACCTTAAATTATTTCAGAAAATCAGCCAACATATTCTCCTCCTTCTGTGTACAGTCATAACTCTTTTGTGATATTTGGTCAATATCAGGCTACTCAACCTCGTAGCGTGGAGGATTTATCAGGTGTCTAGGGATTGAACTATACAATCACATCAAATGGCCTTGATGTGAGATTGAAACACTTTGGGCAAAAATAACTTATCAACCCTATTAAAAACACATAAGCAAAACCCAGTCACGTCCTTACTTTCAAGTATAATACTGGTATCTAAATTAAACCTGCTCACTTACAGTCAGGTTGCATCAGCTGGTGATATATCTAAGGGACATGAGCTTTAACTTCTATACAGAACAGTCAAATAATCCAAGAAAGAATGTTTGATTGCAAAGTGGTTATTGCTTTAAACTTATTTGTCAGTAAAGGATTCTCTACAAAGATAGCATTATATAGTTGTTTTTAGCTCCACACTACTTTTACTTCTAAGTAGTCATATAGTCCTTTAATCTCTTTACTTTTTCTTCAAAGATGTAGGTGAAGGTATCCTCAAAAATTGGGACAAATGACAATAATGTATTCATAAATCGAGGGCATTTTAGATTCAAATTAAATCTTCAAAAACCCACCAAATAAAAAATAAATGAGAAAATCTACCTTCCGAAGCCATGTACTCAGGCTTCACATTCACATTGTTTTCACTTTGAAATATGGGTGACTTCAGTGCATAAGTGTCTTCAATGATCTAATCCTGCAAAACTTGATTGAAGGATAATCAATGATTTATTAATGGCAATTATCTTTGTTGAAGAATTGTTTTTTGAGCTGTTTTTTATATCCCGAGCTTACATTTTAGTGATGCTCCGATGGCTAACATGAATATGAATTATCCAGTATACAAAATGTCCATCAATCACTTTCTTATGGCTTTCATTTCTAATGGAATTTTTTTGTTCTTTTACAGGAGATTTTCAGAGTTAATGTCAAAAAACTCAAGAAGTTAGTGTTTATTATTAGTTCATTTTTCTCATCGTGCTTTTAACAAGCAATTTGCTGAATGACTACTATGTGAAAATGTGATAGTCATTATTACTTTTCAGTCAATATTTTGGATTCTTCTCTTAAAAAATGGTGACAGTGTGACAGCTCTCATCACTACTGTAGTTTTCCCATACAAAGAAAAATGAACAAAATAGTCTTCTCCCAGCTTATAAACTAGGAGCTGTGTGCATCAGAAGAAAACCAGGGCAGTACTTAATGGTGTAGGGCTTGGGCTGAATGCTCTCCTCTGGGCCATGGACCAGCAATTCTTTTGCTTGGCTCTGGGTTAAGTACAAAAGAGAGGAGGGAAGCCAGACTTTTTCTGAAACGTAAAGTGCTTGTATAATATCAACTAGCCCTCTATAGTTGGCATCCCCCCTTTCTTTCTGCCCATCGCCATCTGAGCATAGAATGTTAAAGAAACTTATCTCTGGCTTCATGGTTGCCATTTTTAAAATTGGCAAGCAGTCCTTGAGAACAATTGTATGCTAGATGCTGTGTTAGGCACTGGAGACTTAGCAGGGAAATACATATGTACAAGTAAGGTATACTACTAGCCAGGATATGATACATGCCAAAAAAGGA